TCAATGATGATGATGACAATGATGAAGGTTAGTAGTAGTAGTTGTAGTTGTTGTAGTAAAAGTAGTAGTAGTAGTAGTAGTAATAGTAGTAGTAGTAGTAGTAGTAGTAGTAGCAGTAGTAGTAGTAGTAGCAGTAGTAGTAGTAGTAGTAGTAGTAGTAGTAGTAGTAATAGTAGTAGTAGTAGTAGTAGTAGTAGTAGTAGTAGTAGTAGTAGTAGTAATAGTAGTAGTAGTAGTAGTAGTAGTAGTAGTAGTAGTAGTAGTAGTAGTAGTAGTAGTAGTAGTAGTAGTAGTAGTAGGAGTTGTCATTTTTTTTCTTCTTATTATCATTGTTTTCACATTCAGCCCTTCTTATTATGATTTCATTTGATTCGTCAATTTTTCACAACGCCACATGCATTTTTGAAAGGGTTTCCATCTAAAAAATTCAGAAAATTTTTTTCAAACTTTAAATAATTATCTAACCGGTACCGATACCGATTAATACGATACAAAATCCAAAAATATCTAAAAAATACGGAGCAAAAAATCTAATGAGTTGATACCCTAAGCACGTGCTGGGAACATTTCGAATGCAAATATTGCATTACCTAAGTAAGTATGTGTTTGTTTGTATGATGCAGTGCTGATGAAATACTCAAATGCTGAATATTTGAATACTCCGATGACAATTCGAAGATAACAATAACGATAATAGTTATAATAAATATTGATGGGAAATTTATTTTTGCCATAGTTCTTCTGAAGGTACTCGATTTAACAAAGGATTGAGCGTTATCACAATAAAAAAATAACTGTTTAATAGATACATAGTTTACTATTTTTTTCCATAGCTTGTTTTTTATTTAAAAAAATTTATTTTTTTTCAAATTTAGTGTTTTCGATATATCCGGCCAAATTCATTCACACAGATGATGGTCGGTACGATGAAGGTCCGTCTTCAGTGAAGAAGTTTCTGGAGTACACACATGTTTGGCCGGTGATGCTACAGCCTACCTGAGAAAGTAGATGCAACCAGTTTTAGAAAATCCATACATTGGGTGACATTGTAGTCCCAAAATTCAAATCTTTCATTTTGGGGAAAGAAGATTTTCTTTATCAGCTGCCCAAACTTGCAACGCCTTGTCTGCTCATCTGAAGAAATTCAACCCCATAAGTCTATGTAACTTCAAAAGGCTTCTAACATTGATTGGCTAGTTAGTTGATAGTACGTGTTTGTATATATGTCTGTTTGTAATGATATGTTTGTATATTTGCGAGTTTGTTTGTATGTCCGTCTGTATGTATGTATGTTTGTTGTTTGTTTGTTTGTATGTATGTATGTATGTATGGATGAAATTTCCATTATATTAGACGAATTGTATAACTGGTGAATGGGTTGGAACTAAATTCAATAACTTTTATCGTGAATATTGTTTGTTCTTGATCTTCTTCATATCATTTTTTATTCTTCTTTGTGTTATTGTTGTTGTTGTTGTTGTTGAAGCTGCTGCTGCTGTTGTTGTTTTTTGTTATTGTTGTTGTTTTTGTTGGAGTTGTTGTTGGAGTTGTTGTTTGTTGTTGTTGTTTTTGTTGTTTTTGTTGTTGTTGTTGTTGTTTTTTTGGTACCCATTAAAAATTATTAATCGCCCCCGAAATGGCACGTTTGAATACAGACCCACAAAAAACTTTGATTTATTTAATTGTTCTTTGAAACAAAAATCAAAACGCACATACATACACACATACAAACACACATATAAACACACATACAAACACATACAAACACATAAAAACACATACATATACAAAACTGTCCAATGAAGGCGCATCTATTATTAACGATTTATCTTTAATTAAAATCCCTGATGTATAAACAAAAAGTACCATCATAATATGCAATAATGTTTTATTTATCTCTTTCTTTGTATGTGCGTTTGTATGTATGTGTAAGTTTGTATGTGTGTGTAAGTATGTATGTATGTATGTGTTTGTATGTTTGTTTGTGTGTGTATGTCTTTTGTATATGTATGTGTGTGAACATACATACAGACATACACAAACAAAACAAACATATAAACAAAAGTAGCAAATGTTTTGCCATGGCAAGAATAATTCTTTCAAGTCACGAGCTAAGCTCGCATGTGCGTACTTGAGATTTTATTAAACAATACCAACATATACAAAAAATATACAAAACAAATACATAAAACATGCAAAACAAATACAAAAATTATACAAAACAAATACAAATACAAACTATAGCAACAATACCATATACAAAATTGTCACACAATACTTTATTCGCAAGCAATTACTAACAAATGTATAGAAACCTCAAACATCAAACATTTATAATGACGTCATTCATACGTCATGCATACAGACAAACAAATAAACATACAAATATACAAACAAACATACACGCAAACAAACAAACACACAAACATAAATACAAACATACACAAAAATATAATAAATATCTCTAACCTTTCCATTGTGACCATCATCGCTAACTTTCTCAACGTAATCACCGCCATCATTACCACCACCATTGACGTCATCGTCAGCATTGCTGACGTCATCGTCTTCGTCATTTTTGATGGCGACATCTATATCATGCGGATGTTTAAAAATGACATTAGTGGCTAATTAGCAAGCACTTTCTTTCACGAGCCCTCTCAAAATACAACATCGTCGTCATTATCATTATCATCCACACTATCATCATCATCAACATCATCGTCATCATCATCAACGGCAACAACATGATCATCATCAACGACAACAACATCATCATCAACAACAACATCATCATCATCAACAACAACATCACCATCGTCATCCTCACCATCATAGTGAACACAACAGCCTGAAAATAATTTTTTACCGGTTCGTCCGATCCGGTCGGTATTGTTATAATCGGATCTTGACGATAATGGCAAATTCAATCGGCGCGAAAATTTCTCAAAATCGAAACCCTCGAGTGTGTAATAAAATCCGTCAAACGGTTTATCGTAATAGTTATTATTGGTGTTGTAGTTATTGTTGCTGTTTTTGTAATTATTATTATTGTTATTATCATTATTATTGATGTTGTTGATGAGATTAGGAGTAGTTATAGCATCGTCGATGTTGTTGCTGCTGTTATTGTTTAAATTTTTCACCGATTCCAAAATTTTGACTCGGTGGCTCGAATCAACGACACCGATTGCGTCCAAATCGGTTTCGCCGATTAACCGACATACCGACATCTCGTCGTAACCGTTATCGAAGAAGCTATCGATGTATTGGTGCATCCCTAGCGGGCACAGCCAGTCCAATAGGAAAGATTTGTTCTCTTTCTCCATCTCTATTTCTAAGATTTTAAGATTCTAAGATTTTAATTCTTATATATTAAAAAAAGTTTTATTTAAATCGTCATAATGATATAATTTGTAGCTATATTGAATAGTTATGTATATATTTATCTAGAGACAATCATATTATTAATTATTATTTAATTAATTAGTTAATTAATTAATTAATACAATAATCATCCACGATGATGAAATCTTAATTAATGTCATCCCATCAATATTCTGTCCCCAACAGACAGACGCAGCAGGCATCACAACAGCACACCACTGATCTTACGGATTCACGTAAAATACCTAAAATATACCTCGGAGCATCTGTCTTTATATAAACTGGGCGCGTCACTGACACCATATATATATATATATATATATATATATATATATATATATAATATACATATATATACTTATATATACATACATATTTATCTACATATATATATATATATATATATATATATATATACAAATGTTAACGTGTGTGTGTTTGTTATTGTTTGTATGTGTCTTTGTCTTTTTGTGTGTGTATGGCGTCTCTGGCTTAATATACACATGTGTAATAATATATACAGACATGTGTTGCATATATATATATATTTGTATACATATGTATTTGTATTTTATTTGCCACGAAATAGCATTAGACAAGTTATTTGGGGTTTTTTTAACTTGTCTAAAAAAGATTTCAAGTCTATTCTTTATGTTCAATGGTCAAATCAATAATTTAACTACTTAAGTTTTTTTTTAAAATGCAATCATGTGTTCGAGTTTGAATCTCGATTCACTTGTAGCATGGCTTATTGCTAAGTGAGGTAAACAGAGGGGAAGACTATTTTTAAGATTTAAATGTTTTTTTTCGAAAATTGATTTCAAAACTGACATTTATCATAAAAATAGAAAGAAATACATTAATTTATTAATTTAGATGGCTTTTAGAAGCCAATATTATTTGTATGTCTAAATAAAATGAATTGAAATTTAGGCTGTGAGCAAAACTGAACTGGACAGCAAGGCACTCTCACCAAAAAAAAGTATTTATTTCTTCATTTTCAATTTCGTATTTTAATAATATTCCATTTAAAATATTCAATTATATTTATTTTTTTTCAAAATGGCTGATTAACGCGTGCTTCAAGTCTAAGTCCTAATTTTGGCATAATCCTAGGACAGTGTTTTGTTTGCATTTGAATTGAAAACAACTTATTTACATTTTTACAACCTTACAGATGTAAATAAGTTGTTGTAATTGTAATTTGTATAAAAAATGTGATAAGGCTAGGTTTGGGGTTTTTTTTTCTAGATTATAATTTATATTTCTAAAAGTATTTTCACGCTTTTTAATCATGTACACTCCCTCATTCATACTTATCTCTTCTTGTTTTGCTGTTGCGGGCACTGTTCTAGGATTTTGCCTTTTTTAAAAATTAAAATGTTTCATTACACACACGCGCGCGCGCACACACACACACATGTTTCATTACATACACATACACAAATGCTGTTATATGTTGTACTGGTTGTAGAATATATATATATTTACTATATATCTTAAATCTAGTTGTCAAATAAGAATAAGATAAATAAATACTGATTTTTTCATTGTTAACTTTCTCTCTCTCTTTCCTCTCTTTCTCTCTTTCTCTTTCTCTTTGAGTTATCATGTGATTAGTTTAATACTAGTCAATACTTTTATTAATTATTTGTTTTTTCTATAATATATAATTATAATTCATAATTGTTTGTATCTATTGTTTTTGTTGTGTTATAAATTATTACTGTTGCATATTTTTTTTTTCATAATTACTGTTGAGCTAGTCTTGGGTAGGTGTAGGTGTGCATGTATGTGTGTATGTGTGTGTGTTTGTGTGTGTGTGTCTGTTTGTGTGTGTGTGTGTTTTTGTGCGTGTGTGTATGTGTTTCTGTTTGCTTGTGTGCATCTGTGTGTGTATGTATGTGAGTCAGTTTGTGTGTGTGTATATATGTGAGTTTGTCTGTTTGTATGTGTGTGTGTGTGTGCTTGTCTGTTTGTATGTGTGTGTATGTATGTGAGTCTGTTTGTTTGTTTGCGTGTGTGTGTGTGTTTGTTGTTAATTAGTTTTCATTTGTTAGAGACTTTTATCTCATTAAGGAAGTAGAAATTGTAATTATTCTTATTATTATTATAATTATTATTATTATCGTCATTATTTTATTATTATTTAATTATTTTTAGTATTATTATTTTTGTTATATTTACTGCAAAAGCAAAAAAGTCCAGAGAAAAATAATATCTATGAGAGTTAGACTCTCTCTCTCAAAACATGGATAATGAAGATGAAACAAGTTCGTTACTTTTATGATAATAATAATTATAACTATAATTATTTTCATAATAATCGTAATTATAACTATAATTACTTTTATAATAATTATTATTATAACTATAACTATTTCTATAGTGATAATAATAATTTTTTCTATTTTGTACTAATAGCCAGTTTATTGAGAAAGAAGGAGAAATCCAGGCTAACAAGAAATCTGATAGGATTTTGGTGGGTGCCATAATAATAATAATTATAATTAATATTATTATTACAGTTATAATTATAATTAATAATAATTATAGTAATGATAAATTGTAATTTGTTTACCATAGGCTGTTGGGCCTGACAAATAACTTTGGTTACGTCATCATGCTGTCAGGTGCTCACGACATGCTCACACCTTTCAATGTTTGGTTTCATTCATTTTCTCTTTTATTCACTCATTCATTCGTTCGTTCGTTTGTTCGTTCGTTCGTTTGTTCATTCGTTTGTTCGTCCATTCGTTTGATTGATCAATCGACTGTTTATCTATTTTTTTATTATATCTTATTCATTCGAGTCATTCATTCATTTATCTCTATTCACTCATACCAATACACTTATTGCAATTTTAATTATCGTTGTTGTTATTATTATTATTATAAATTTATTAATTATTCTATAAATAGTTTTTCTTAATTATGGCATAATTATTTTCAAGGCAACTACAGCCAATGCGTCCAACGAAGTTAACCGAACTGGTTCACTCGTCGAAGATTGCAATCCCGTCGGGACTGGAGTGAGTTAGGATGATGACGACGACAACGACGATGATGATGATGATGAAGATGATGATGATGATGATGACGACGATGATAATGACCATGATGATGATGATGGCGGTGGTGATGATTTTGATAATGATGACTATTAGATTGATGGTTTTGAAGTTAGTGACAATCATTATACTACTACTACTACTACTACTACTGCTGCTGCTGCTACTACTACTACTACTAATAATAATAATAATGATAATGACGTCATCCAGGCGGTTTTACTAGCTGACATCATACCCGCTCTGTTGGTCAAATTAATGGCTCCAGTTGTCCTCCAGAAAATTCCATATGTGTTAGTTATATTACTATTATTAGTAGTATTGTTATTATTATTATTATTATTATTATTATTATTATTATTATTATTATTATTATTATTATTATTATTATCAGGTTCCGTATATGTGCCGTATTATTGTTCGGCGTGGCCAGTTTCGTGCTGGCCTCCTTTGGGGGCAGCGAACACGTCTACGTCAGCATTCTGGGTTTGTGGATGAATGAATGCATGAGTGAATGGATGGATGAATGAATGAAGGAATGAATGAATGGGTGGATGAATGGGTGAATGGATGAATTGATAGATGAATGAATGCATAAATGAATGGATGGATAATTAAATGAATGAATGAACGAATGAATTAAAAAATTAATGGATAGATAGATGAATGAATGAATGAATGAATGGATGGATGGATGGATGGATGGATGGATGGATGGATGGATGGATGGATGGATGGATGGATGGATGGATGGATGGATGGATGGATGGATGGATAAATTAATGAATGAATGGATTAATAAATGAATTAGTGGATCAATGAATGAATGATCAGGTGTTGTTTGTGCCAGCTTGGGCAGTGGATTGGGTGAAACAACTTACCTTGGTCTGATGTCGCATTTCAATAAGTGAATTGTTTCTTCATCTTATTATTCATTCATTCATTCATTCGTCCATTCATTCTTTTGTTTGTTTAACAATTTATTCATATAATATCAATATTTAACTTATTTGTCGTAATTCTTAACAATTAATTTCTCTCTACCTACCTATCGTTCATTCATTCAATCAATCATTCAATCAATCATTCATTCATTTCACCTACTTGTTCAATCGTTCATTCAATCCGTTCAAATTTATTCAATCATCTATTCATCCACATTCATCCATCCATCCACTAATTATCTAACTAACCCAACAGAAACGTCATTGCGACATGGAGTAGCGGAACGGGTGCAGCCGGCCTGCTGGGGTCAACGTCTTACGCGGGGCTGACCTCCCTGGGGTTGACCCCAAAGGTCACGCTTCTGATAATGATTGTCGTTCCTTGTTTGATGGCTTGCAGGTTATGATGATGATGATCGTGGAGAAGATGATGATGATGATGATGATGATGATGATGACGACATTGACATCAGTGTTATTGCTAGAGCCGTCATCATGGCCATCATCATCACCATCGTCGTCATCACTATCATCATCACTATCACCACCATCAACTTCATCACCATCATCAGTTATTTCCTCCTCTTGGTATCACCGAAGCCAGGTTTACTCACATCACCATCATCAGTCTGCTGTCGTAGAAACCACCTGAGAGATGATGAAGATGATGATGGTGATGATGGTGGTGGTGGTGGGGTGGACGGTAACAGTGATGATAATGATCGTAATGTTAATAATAATAATAATATTAATAATGATGATGATAACGGTAATGATGATGGTAATGATAACGAGCATCATCGTCATCCTGATAATGAATCAGGAAGAGCTGCTCGTCCAGATGGAGAAGTGGGGTTTGCCGGCTGCAATAACAACGATGGTCATGATGGTGATGATGATGGTGGTGGGGGTGGTGGAAGTGCTGATGATGATGATGGTGGTAATAATAATAATAATCCCGGTGAAAAAACAGCAATGCAAAAGATTAAATCACTCAAGGTGATGATGATGATGATGAGGACGATGATGAAGATGAGGACGATGAGGATGACGATAAGGACGATGATGACGATGATGATGAATTCAGTTGCAATGGTGATGATGATGATGATGATGACGACATCATCTTTTTTTTCGCAGCCAATATTGAAGTACGTGGCACCATTATTCTTTGTCTACCTGATTGAGTATATTATTAACCAAGCCCTGGTTAGTTTCATGATTGATTGGTTGATTGATTGATTGATTGATCGATCGATTGGGCTATTTATTTATTTATTTGTTCTTTCTTCTGTTCATTCATTCGTTTGTTTGTTTATTTATTAGTTTGTTTGTTCATTCATTTGTTTGTTTCCGTTCATTCGTTCATTTTCCATTTCTTGGAATATTCATTAATTCACGCATTTATTCATTTGTTAATTCATTTGTACATTTCTTCATTCATTGTTTTAATCAATGATTCATTAATTCATTCACTCATTCATTCATTCATTCAATTCAGTACGAGTTGATAATTTTCAAAAACAGTTGGCTAGCTATTCCGCAGCAGTACAGATGGTATAAATTTTATTTTCATTCCCGCCACCATCATCACCACCATCATCGTCGTCATCATCATCCTCTTCCTCGCCGTCATCATCATCATAACTTCCCTAGGTACCTTGTTTTGTACCAGGTTGGTGTCTTCATTTCGAGGTCATCCGTCAACTTCATTCACATTCCAATCGTTTGGGTTTTCCCAATTCTCCAGGTTGAATTATTTTTAGATTTTTTATGATTATTATTATCATTAATAATAATATTATTATTATTATCATCATCATTATTAGCCTATATTTAGCTTATATAGGCTTACATTACCTTGGCCATAAATTCGTTTCCATCAAAAATTTCACGTACAAATTTACTGACAATGTAAAATTTCAATTCATTTATTTACTCGTAAATTCACTCATTTCTTCACTCTTTCATTTATTCTTTTATTTACTCATTCCTTTCCTCACTCACTCATTCATTTATTCATTCATTCACCCATTCATTCACGCACTCATTCACTCAGTTTGCGGTACTGGTGTTGCTATCCTGTCAGGTGTTTTTCCACTACATAGCCTACATCTTCATCGTCTTCGTCATCATCGTCTTCGAAGGCCTCTTCAGCGGTGGAGCCTACGTTAATGCATTCTATGCTATCCTCCATACTGTTATTTTATCTTTGTTTTTTTTTTCGTTGTTTATATTTTGATTTCTTTGGCTTTTTTGGATGGCTTATTGATTGGTTGGCTTATTGATTGGTTGGTAGGTTGGTTGGTTGGTTGGTTGGTTGGTTGGTTGGTTAGTTGGTTGGTTGGTTGGTTGGTTGGTCGGTCAGTCGGTTGGTTGATAGGTTGGTTGATAGGTTAGCTGGTTGGTCGTTTTAGTTAATGGTGAACAATGTCACAACAAAACAACATCAACAATGACGTCATCGACAACAGCCGCAGGTCCCACAAGAAGACAAGGAACTTTGCATGAGCGTTACGTGCGTCAGCGATTCTTGCGGTATCGCCCTGGCCGGTGTCCTAGCCATCCCTATTCATAATTATATTTGTAGTCTTTGACTCTACGACAGCAGCGAAAACAATTTCCGGTTTTATAATTTGTTTGACTTATCTATAGTCTTTGTTACCATCTATTTTAATTATCTGTACTCTATGACGTCACAACAACGGCGTCAGTTGACGGATTCATAATTTGTTTGAATTATTTATAATCTTTGATACCAAATGCACATGATTTTTAAATTATTTATTATCTTTTACCAACAGCAGTAATAAAAGTTTAATTTCAGGATTCTAATTATACTATTTGTTATACACAGCTGTGATGATGCTATTATATATGCTTTAATTGATAAATTGCGCTATAAAAATGTATTTTTTGATCTGTTATATCTAATTAATTAATTGGTTTTTACCGCATTACTAGTATGATCGTAAATTCATTCTTTTATGTAGAGCTTTATTCTTTGAATTTTGAATTAACCTCGACGCTAATTATCCATAATAATTAAAAAAATAATAATTATTAGTATCATTTACATTGTTATTATATCTTACTTTTTTGTCGTTTATTCGTCTTTTACTTTGAAATTTGATCTAAACTTCAAACTCTGACCAAAACTGGACCGATTAATTCAATATTAATTATCATAAACTATTATATTTCATTATTATATATATTGTTCATTTTCCTTATAATTATAGGCTTTATTTACTATATTTACACACACACATTCATTTGAAATTCTTCATAAATTCACATATATTTCGTTTATCGTCTTCAATAACTCTAATTTTTAATGCATTTGTTTAATATTTTATGTATATTATATACAAAAAATATTTTTGTATTTTGTTAAATATGAAAGTTTACACATATACGCTAAACACTTACATAATTTGTTCATTTATTTATATTACAGTAAAAACATTAAAACATATAAATTTGTATCTGCCTGTTTGTGTGTCTGGTTGTATGTGTTTGTGTGTGCGATTATGTTCAGTTCACTTTGCACAAGTTTTCGTCTCTGACGTCAATATAATCTGTTAATTTCTTATTTTATAAACATCTTTTATTAAAGAGTAATTAATGTATTAGTTTAAAATGAGTCTAATATTGTAAAAATAAAATATTTACGAGGTTAGTGTAGATTATGGGAAAAGTCCAACTCGTAAAATGCAAAGTTCAGTTGTTAAACTCGTAAATTGTAAAACTCTGTTGTCTATGTTTAATCATCACAAAGTTTCCGGCGGCCATTAAAAGATGGTCGCTGTTCACTTGTATATATATAAGTATAGTAAATACTAATTTGTTAGTGAATCAAAAATTGTTTCAAAAATTTCAAATCGTTTGTAATTATCGTATTTTGTTGAAGTACCGAAGAAAGTTAGTGTTAATTAATAACATTTGATTTCACAACATAATAACAGCGTGAATCAGACTTTAGTAAAGTTTACGCTTTATGTTTTGCCGGGTTTGGTTTGTCGGTCACTAATCTGCTGAATTTATTTGTCAGATTTCTCGTTCTTTTGAAGTTTCTGTTCCTCATTTGACGAAACATCAGAAATCAAACATGACGTCGACTGTTCACTTCAAATTCAAGAGTAGTTTGGAGTTTGAAACACTCTCGTTTACCGGATCAGAAATTTCCGTGGCAGATCTCAAGAAAGAAATCATCAATATAAAGAATATGGGGAAGCTCATGGAAAATTTTGATCTTAATATAACAAATGCCCAAACCAGAGAAGGTTTGTGAGTTTTTGTCAATCATTTCATTTCTGTTTTTTTTATGTTTTCTCTTAAATTTTCTGTTTGATTTTTCTCACTAACTAAAATGACTTTTATAGAGATATTTGACTTTTTTACTTTAAATTATGAATTTGATCTGATCACCTCTCCTAGATTACAAGCCGGATGCCATGGTGCCTAGGAATTCATCAGTAGTAGTCGCTCGAGTCCCTGTTTTGAGATCATCCAGAAGGTAATTTTAACAATTTCTAACCATTTAAAAAAAAATTTACTAAAATTATATGAATTTTAAATAATAATTTATTTTAAATTGTTAAACTTTATTCAGAGACAATTTAAGGAGAGACTTAGCTGCTTCGCCCACTAAGGTATGTTAATCTTTATTCACTTTTTTTCAGTAATAATATTTTCAGTGATAATATTTCAGTAAAATCATTTTAATTTGCTCCCATTTGAAATAGCCTATATGGAGCTTTATATTTTTTATTTATTTTTTGTAATTAATTATTATTTTATGTCCCTGCCAATTTTCGTGTTTATTTTATTAAACGGACATTTTTTAGTGAGTGATTGATTGATTGATTGGGACAAGGGATGGGTTATGGGAGATGAATGATTGAATGTTTGGATGAATTTTATTTTTTTAAATAACAAACAGTGATTTTATTTGATGTTTGAATTGTTTTTTGAAAAAAAATGTTTTGAACATCATGTATTATTTTACAGACACTGATACTGTTTAAATGTGCATTTATTTTTTTATATCTTATTATTATTTTGATTTATTTTTATTGGTTTTTAATAAATTATTACAAATTTTTGTTGATATGTAAAAACGGACTAAAAACGACTAAATACTGGTCGGTCGTCTTATTACATCAACAAGAAAAACAAAAAATTTCATATGTGTGGAGTCCTAGATGCGTATCTATGTATATATATATATGTGTATATATAATATATATATATAATATATATATATATATTGTGTAATAATACACATACAATCGTCTGTGTTGTCAACTAAAACACTGAAGATCATTGTCAGGAAGTTACAGCACTACCTCCATGTGCCTAACTTATATATTTGCATATATATATATATATATAATACGCGATGTGTACTCATATCCTAATTGGTTTCATTGTTGGCTTTGCCAATGTTTGAAAAAATATGTTGGAGGAAGAAAGAAGAAGATGGTTACATATTTCAAAGATCTGATCTTTGTTTTTATTCTTTAATATGTCATTAATACAGTGTTACTGATGTATCAATTTTTTGTACTCTTTATTCCTATATAGATAGACGACACCTCATCACCATTGGAGATCCTGTCAAAGGTAGGGGACCGTTCCGTGTTTTCATCATTACCTTTCTATCTCTCTCTTCAAATCTTTCTAGTTCCAATTTAGCCATTAACCTTCCTCTCTCCTTGGAATTTATATAGTTAAGGATGTTAAAATCATCGAATAGTCATGAGTGTTACAGTTACTTGATAAGGATATAGGGACTTGTGTAGTTTATTAGTAGTATGCCCTGTACTTAAAATGATTATATAGTGCTGTGTAGGTCTAATTTTGCCACAAAAAAAATTATAAAATTTTCTCAATACCAAGCAATATGAAAAATAATTGTAATCTTTAAACTCCACTCAAAAAGACTAAGGACATAGCCTCACTTGAAATTAGTGAAGAAGAAAAGATTAGGACAATGATGGAGCAGTCAAATAAAGATTTTGCCAACGTCAAGTAGGTTTTTGAAAGTGTTTAATGATCTGGTTGATTTAGTTATGTTATACCACCAGTAATGGTATTTATTAGTTATAACCCACAAAATATACTAATTTTTTTCATAATTAATAAGAAATTCCTTCAACTTTACAAAAATCATGAACCCCTAATTAAATTCTCTTCAATGAACAGCTACAATAGAGTCCCAAGAATGCCAACTGGACCGGTGCCAAGGAATTACGTCTGTCACAGGTGTGGTCTTCCTGGCCACTACATTCAGAACTGTCCACGTTTCAAAGACCCAAACGTGAGTCTACTTAATAGAATCGAAGTTTAATTGCTTATTCAACATGCCCATCATCATAATCTGATCTTTTCTATTTTGCTCGTATGTTACAACTCTTCCTATTCATCGATGCTGTTTATAATTACTATAATTATTATTACTATTATGTCTTGTAGTATAATAGTTGGCTGTTATTTCTTTCTCTGTAAATCATCAACTGTTTTTTCTCATTCATATTATTTTTCTCGCTACTTATATAAAGTTATATTATCATCTTTTTAACTACTTAACCATGCGCCCCAACACAAAAACACAGTCGACAGAGACATTTCCACGTTTGAAGAGGAGCACTGGCATTCCAAACAGCTTCATGACGACAGTGCACGACATCAACACACCTGGAGTTCTCCTAACTAGCTCTGGGCAGCTGGCAGTACCGACTATTGATGCGTATGTTTCTGTGAAATTTTTGTATCGTATTTGTATTGTATTTGTGGGTATTTCCAATCCTAGCTTGCTCTAAATTGACATATGTATTTTTGTATTTCATTATAATTCATCTTATAATATGCTTGTATTGTTGTACTCTACAGAGCTGCATATAAGGAAGGTAAAAAGGAGAAACCTCCTTTTGTTAAGGACACAAACACGGCAAAGAAACCCGATCCTAATGAGAAATTGATCCCAAATGAACTTCTATGTCCCATTTGTAAGGATATCCTGGTGGACGTTGTGGTCGCTCCGTGTTGTGGGGAGTCTGCCTGTGATGAATGTAAGTTTTGGGCTTGTTGTTTTGTGCTTTTGAATTTCATTGTCTTATCTTTTTTGTAAAGTTTTTTGTACTATTGTAGTGACGAAATTAAATTTATTTCTTCTCCCTTTCAGGTATCCGTCACAAGATCCTGGCCTCCGACAACCACCAGTGCCCCATCTGCAAGGAGACCAACGTATCACCCGACGACCTTATAGCCAACAACCTCGTAAGGGCAGCAGTCATCAATTACCAGAACGAAACAGGCTATATGTCGATTGCCAAGAAGGAAGAACTACAACAACAGCAGCAGCAACAACAGCTTCTGCTGCTGCAACAGGAAAAAGAAAAGCAGTTGCAGTTACAACAACAGCAGCAGCAGCAGCAACAACAACAGAATAATATAAAACAAGAACAGATTGTCAATCCAGATGTTCAGACCACGGTTAATAATGCTGTTGTTGCTAATAGCCAGCAGCCACATCAAGCTATTAACAACATGGGGTAAGGAAATTATTCATTTAATTATTATATTCCATGATATTATAATATTTATTTATAGATATTTCATTAAATAAGTGGAATGTATCAAATGTATGTTCATTTGTTTTTCTTTCAGGTTGTCGAACATGAATGTAGACGATAAGGCGGGAATGATTGCATCGAATGTTGTTGATGCGGCTGGAAGGCTCGTTCAGAGAATCATGGTTAGTTTTGAAAGAGAGCTAATTTTCTATTGTATTATCTTTGTTTCATTTCTTTTTTTGTTTGTTTAATTTTGTAATTTGTTACAAAAATTTTATTGCTGACCTGGCTCTTCATTTTATAATGGAACTAACTTTTGAAAAATTAATTTTCCAGAGGCCTACCATTCCACAGCAATCTTCTGATTGGATGACGACGAGGATACCTATTGGTTAGTTATTTCTGTCTCTTTAATTTGATTGGCTTGCTAGTGATGCCATTTTGTGCACGCATGTTTCTGTTAACACTTTAGTTTTATACGTTTGTTATTTTTAAAAAATTTATACTTAGTAGTAATTGATAAAATTGCACCAACAGGTGATCCAGTGCCTGTGCCAGGAGTAAAGGGCGCGAGAATGGTACGGGTTTTGGTGGCCCGCCATCAAATTCCCCAGCAACCACAAGCCCAACAACTTGCGCCAACGTCTTCAGGAATGGTTCCAATGGGTTCCTCTGCCTATGCTGTTCCACCAATTAGATTCAATGTTCCTCCACCACCATTGGTTCAGCAGCTACCACAGTCGGGCTTAACCGTCAATCGACCACCGCCCATGCTAGTCTATTCAACCATTCCAACCAATCATCATTTGGGACCGCCTCCTGTTATTGCTCCAACGCCATTGGTTAGACCGGCTGTCAATCAAATTATGTACCAGCCCAGGATTGCTGGATCGGGTAATTTTTGTTTGAATGTTTCTCGGATAACTATCTCAATTATTGTTTTGTTAGTTTTTAAGTTTAAAATAATATTAATAGTTAATGTATAATTATTTTATATTAATTGTTGATAGGTCTGGCTCCTAATGACATGTTGCTAGGAACAACTTCTGCCTATGGCTACCATCCCCACCATCCAGGTAGTGTACCTATGACAGAGGAGGAATTCTATAGGGAGAAGCAGAGGTTGCTCAATTTAGAGAGGAAGTAAGTTTGACTCTTTTTTTTTGTCTGAAAATGTTTGTTTGATTCATGATAAGTGTCGTTAATGGCTTCAGCAGATGGGCGGGCGGTTTTTATGTTTATCGCTGTCATGTAATTGATTGCAGATGAGGGTGAATAATTCTAAGTTGTCATTGAATTATTTTTATGCTTATTTACAATTAGGTTTTTTTTTCAGATAATTTATGGTTTCATATTAAAAATAACCTGTTAAAAATATTTTGAGATAAGGATTCCTTTGATTCTTTGAATAGACAACAAATGATATTCTCCAGATCCAATTTATAATGATTTATTCCAGTTAAATTGCTTTAAGTTTTTTTCAAGAAGAGCAAATTTTTTAAATTAAATATGTCTAAATAAACAAGTTGTAGATTAAACTTAAATTATTAAAATCTCTTTCCCTAACTAGAAAAAAATCGAGTCAGTCTCCTCGTCCCCGATCAGGCAGCCCACCTGTCAATCACTCATCATCTAAGATATCATCCAACATGAAGGACATTTTTGAATTTGCTGAAGACATCATGAATCAAGGAAAAAAGTCTCAGCAACAGCAACATCCACGACGATCCAAATCTAGATCACAGAGCATATCTAGGTCAAAATCGAGGTCGAGATCCAACAGTATGCCTAGGTCAGTTCAATTAAATTTTTTATTCATGATTTTTGGTTTTATTTTTTGATATAATGAGTGTTTTTCTGGATTTGGTTAACATTTTCCTTAAATTTTTGTCTTTGAAGATCATTTTCTAGACATAGAACATCTTCACTGTCTCTACCTCCATCACCAAGGAGGCGATCCAGACATTATTCTAGGTCTGGATATTATTTTTATATTAATTTCAATTGCTTGTTCAAGAAAGTAAATATTGAAATGTTCACCTCTGAAATTTAAAAATCAACTCGCCCTACAGATCTCCATCTAACCGATCTCCAAACAACTACCAGTCGAGAAATCATCGATCCTCTAGACACAGACAGCCACTCAGTCGACGGTCAGGCTCTGCTAGACCCAGACATTCGAGAAACGACCGTTTAGACAGACCGTCTAGACAATTCTCGAGATCGTCGTCTAATCACAGGAGACGAGAGTTTTCTAGGTCACCAGTTGAACAATCGAGAAGGTCTCCGAACTACCACGTTCACCAACGCCAGCCGTCTAGACACAGACCTCCACCCAGACAGTTATCTGCATCTCCAGGACCCAGACATCCGAGAAATGTTGAATATAGGTCGTCGAGAATGAAGTCGAGGTCACCATCAGATCACAACAGCGGTAGGAGGAGGAGGGAATTTTCAAGGTCGCCCGCCGATCACTTTAGAAGGTAAGGCATTTGTTTACTGTGCTGCCCTATTTTGGAGTTTAATAATTTCGATTTTGAGTCTATATTGTGCAAGCATATTTTTAATATTTATGTCTCAATAAATGTTCTCAGGTCTCCATTCAACCGATCCCCACCAAACTATCCACCCTACCCGACATCCAGACACAGACTACCCCCAAATCGAAGGTCAGGGTCACCAGGTGGACCTCCAAGACATCCAAGAAATAAGGAGTATAAATCGTCCAGGGGGGTGTCGAGGTCGCCGTCCGATTATAGGAGGAGAGAATTTTCTAGGTCACCTGTTGAGCGTAGAAGGTTTGATATTTTTATTTTTTGGCTTCTGTTTTAATTTCATTTCACTTTTAAAAACATGTCAAGGAAAATTTAATTTTTAACTGTTTTTCTATTTAGAATTTTTCTTTCTGTTGAACTATTAATTTTTTATGGAAGGTTCAACGTGTTAATTGTTTATTATTAAAAAACCTCTATATTTATTTACTAAGAATTAATTATTTCTTGAAACCATGAGGTTAATGTTTTCAATTTTCAGCTGTTGATTTTTAAACTCTAAAATGTATTTAATGTAAGGAATTTTGACCTATCTATGTGTACTGTATAAAACTGCATTAAATTTGTTTTAATTTTGTTTGAAGATATTTTAAATTTCAATCATGAATAACTAATACCATGGCTAATCAAATTCCATCTACACAGATCACCTTTGCTGGCACCTCCCCACGTCCCAACCCCTCCAATCTACTCGTCACACCAACCTTACCAGCCTTCCAGAAACAGACAGCCCCAAACTAGAAGGTCACGATCACCACCTAGCGGTCCCCCCAGACATCAGAGAGGGTCAGGGTCACCAGGGGGACCACCCAGACATCAGAAAGGATCAAGGTCGCCAGGTGTACACTCCAGACATCAGAGGAGGTCAGGGTCGCCAGGTGTACCCCTCAGACATCAGAGGAGGTCAGGATCGCCGGGTGTACCCCCCCGACAGAAAAAAAGATTAGGGTCGCCAGGTGAGGCTCATAAACTTCAGAAAAAGTCTGGTTCGCCTGGCGGACCTTCTCCCAAACGTCAAAGAAATACTGAATATAGGTCGTCGAGAGTTAGGTCAAAATCGCCATCCTCTTATAAGAGGAAGCGAAAAATATCAAGATCACCTGCTGATCACACGAGAAGGTAATTCTTTTTGTTGCTATTGTTGTTGTTTTCATTGCTCGACTGGTTGATTTATTTGATTTGTTGAATTGTCAAATGAATTTATTTAAAATTTTGTCAACAGAGAAGTGGAGAAAGTAGAAGAATCAAAAGCAAAGAGAAAACGAACGTCGTCCTCGCCCATCGGTAAAGAATTCGAAAAACAAGTGGACGACGATGCCAACAACAGCAAGAAATTAGCCGGAAAGATTAAGGAAGAGAAGAAGGATGTTGCGGAGAAAGAAATGGATGGGAAGAAGGAGAAAGATGGAAAGAAAGAGAAAGATGGAAAAAAAGAGGCGAAAGAAGAAAAGGAGGGTAAAACAGAGAAGCATAAGAAGAAGCCCAAGAAGGAGAAGAAACATTCTAAGAAGCACAAAAACAAGACGAAGAAATGATCATACAATCGCCTAATAAATATGAACCCGATCCTTATTAAAAAAATGTTGATGAATCTTTACCTACAAAAATTCTATTACTTTATTTAGCCAGCTGTCACCACTAAGAATTTAAACATTCATAGAATAACTTCATTTTCCTTATCTAAATTTTATTTGTCATTCATGAAAATACTTCTTACTCCAAGTAGGTATTTTCGTAAATATACTGTGTATTATGTTTCTTAAACATGATTTACCAATTAGCACTCTCTTAATAATTATGATCCATCCATTCACCTATCTATCTGTCATTCATTCACTTGTCTATTCTTTCATTCATTCATCTATTTATCCACTCATTCATTAATGCCTTCGTATAAGGCGAGCATTTCTATCACATATGTAGATATGTATTATCAACATGAATGTATATATCCAACGCTAAAAATTCGGTAAATTTCATTGTTTACTGCATATATGCATGTATATATATATACATATATGTTGGTAATAGACCATAATTTTTACAATACTCTATAAATTCTACGGAATGTTTGGCGTTAATAGGTTTGTAGTTCGATTTTTCTCACTAAAGTTTTTTGGTGAACGTTTAGTTTATTAAAATTCAAAAGTTCATCTTGACATAGTCAATATTTCCCTATATATACGAGGATGATGATTCATTCGGAATTGAAATATGGCCTTATTTGCAGCATGAATTCGAAAAATAAGTTTATTTTGAATTTTAGTAAACTAAACGTTCACCAAAAAACTTTAGTGAGAAAAAACGAACTACAAACATTAACGCCAAACATTCGGTAGAATTTATAGAATATTGTAAAAATATACATATATATATATATATATCTCTATATATATATATTGTACATAAATAAAGTCGAATGACAAAGCACCTCCTTGTATATATTAATAACATTATTACCGTGAGACATTAGATTTTTCTATTTGATTTAAAATAAAATAAAAAGTGTATTTAAAATAATAACACTAATTTGACTCATAGTCGTGTTTGTCTTGACTGGCAGAAATGAAATTGTTTGATTAATTAGTTGATTGACCAGTCAATAATCACGGATTGGACATGTTAAAAGTTGATACTTGCACGTACGTTCATATCTTTCGGGCGCGTATGTTCTAGAGTTTTGTATTTTGAGTAGCGATTCGACACGAGGTACTTGTAGAAAAATCCAGGCATGTTTTGTTTCCGTCTAGTTAAAGAACGCTTAGTGGAATAAATTAAGAACTTACGAGGGAGATTTGTCGATTTTCAACGTTCTAAATCAGTTTTTAAAGAACGTATCTTAGTGCATGTTATGTACAATTGTACAACCGTACAACGACGCGTACATTGATACAAAACATAACAGTTCGTACAACTAAATGTAGATAAGAAATATAAAACATACAAACAACAACGCCAAAATTCTATTGATAAACACCAACAACACATACAAGCTCTACATACAGACTTGTATCTATGTAACAGCGCTCATAACATGAACATTCACAGACTGAAGTTGATAATTATCACCGTTATTATTGCGAAGTAATCATAATTAGACCATAATGACGATGATGATGATTTTGATTAAAGACATCATTAGCAATAACGACAATAACGCTCTTATGAAGGAAGTCGATAATATATAACTGGCATTTAATTAATTAGTAATAATCGCCTATATCAGTAATTTGTCGAATAATATCGGATAATTGACGGTCGGTTATTCGTTGAATTGGGAAATCGTGATTCATCAAATAGAATCGGATAAATTAAAATATCGGTAATTCATCGAATCAGAAACAAGTCGAGTAAATTCGGATAATCGCGAATACCGAAAATTAACCAAAGAAAACGTACCGAATAACCAAGAATCGGTTAGTACGGTTAGGTTAGTACGTTGATGATTTTTTTAGGCTGACGTGCGTTATGTTTTTAAGAAGTAATAATAATTATTATAATGAACAATTATATCTAATTAATTATGTTAGTAATTAATAATCAAATGTTCATGTTGTTAGGTCGATATCAGCTGTATGTTTGAGATGATGACAACGATGATGATGAAGGCGATGACGATGTTGGTGGTGATGATGATAATAGTTATAGCAATGATGGTGATGGTTATAGTGATGGTGATGATAATGACGACGACAATGTTGATGATGATGACTTCTATATGAAAATGAAGGAAACATTATATAAATAGAAACAATTATATATATATATATATATATATATATATATATATATATATATATATATATATATATATATGATAAATTAGTCACATATCAATTCTTTAAATAGAAGTTAAATCTGTTTTACTACATTTAAAACGTGTTTAAATAGGTTCATTTATCATCTCGAATAATAACTATTTTATAATAAATGATAATAATTAATAACTTATGTTAATATATATTGAATATAAATAATATTAATTAAAAAAAGGGGTTAAAGTAGTAACTGAGTGTCCGACCATTCTTCACAAACATTACTTACGATAAAAAAAAATTTTAAAGAAAAAAAAGTTAACTGATTAGAAATCCATTCGTCAGTGAAGTGTTATGATGATGCCATCGAATCAACCAGTGACGTCATTTTCTATTTCAGGATCATCATCAGTATCGCCAGCCACGACGTCATCACCTTCATCAGCAGCAGCTGTAGCAGCAGCCTCACCACTAACGCCACCATCAGCAGCTACAGCAGCAATTACGTCATCGTTATCGGTATCATCATCACCATCATTATCATCCTTATCTTCATTATCATCGATACCTTGTACGTCACTATTTTCATCATCATCATCATCTTTATCAGTATCTTCTACGCCATCATCAGTATCTAATACGATACCATCATCATCATCATCATCACCACCATCGTCATCATCGTCATCATCACCACCATCGTCATCATCATTATCATCATCAGCATCAGTAACGATTGTGTCGTTATTCTCTTCAGTCTCATTATCATCATCATCATCAACATCATCGTCATCAGCATCATCATCATCATTGTCGTCGTCATCGTCGTCGTCAACACCACCATTAGCAGCAGCCACAGTAACCACAGCAGTAGCAACTAATAAAATTATGAAGACGACGAAGAATAATGACGTAAATATAAATAATGATGAGAATAAAGTTACAATGAAGCAGAGTGAAGTAATTACGGAGCCATATTTGAACTACGGATACAGAAGGTGACTAACCATAATTTCCTAATTCTACTTATAATTATTCAGAATTATTTAAAAATCAGGACTAATATATAATTGCATAATATCATTAAACAATTCTTAACTTCTCTTAACTACTATGAAATGATCCCGATTTTGTGAAAGTATTTTTAATATAATTATAATATAATCGTTCATAATTTTTTAATATAGTTTTTATCCCTACAATCCTTGGACAGCCAACAACGTAAAAACGCATTACTCGCAGCCACTTGTGCCAGCGTTCGTCCGGCAAAGTTCAAACATCTTACCGCCAAATTTCAGCCCGCCACCTGTCTTAAAAAATGATAATGACGTCATTGATGACGCCGATGACGACGGGATTTATGTACATGTGAGTTTTTGCTTCGAAAGTGATTCAGGGGTTTTTTGAAAAAAATTTTTTTTAAATATTTCAAATTGATAACAAGTCTGCCTTAAATCAATTAGAATAATTTTTATACAATAATATACATACAACCCATCTATATTTCAATTCTTATAATTTTAATACAATAATTTACATACAACCCATCTATATTTCAATTCTTCAGATCGGGCCAGTCAAATTAATTATGGAAAAACACGGGCGGAATATAGCTGACTATTTTGCACTTCGAGTCGTACACGAGGTGCCTGCCGAACTCTTAGAGGAGGTTGAAGGAATATATTTTTCAGATTTTATAGTTAGAGATTTGTACGGACGCCTGTTCATTTATAAGGAGAATATAATGAAATTCATTAATAAATACGGACCCTATAATCTGAGATTGAAGAATCCATATCAGTTATCGAATGTGAATAATTTCAGTCAGTTTTATACATTTAATAAGAACAAATATCAAAAAAATCTTCTTACTTCTACTACTACTTCTACCGAGAAATCTATTCATCGACAGAATGTCAGCACGCCGCATAGACTCGATAAAGGTAACGTTGAAAATGAAGATGTGAGACATTCGGAATTTAAAAAACCGAACTCTATCCCGCTCAGATTGCAAAAAAATAAACAACAGCAAGAGAACACAAACATGACAACTAATAAAAATGCCATCTTCCAAACTTCAAACACCAATCAAAAAACTGATCACCAGCGAAAATTAAATAACGATATAACGATTGAACTGCCTGACCTCAGCCAACCACCACCAAACTGGTTCTCACAACAACATCAACAACTCATTCAACAGCATCAACAACAACAACATCAACAAATGATTCGACAACATCAACAACAACAGCAACATCAACAACTCATTCAACAACATCAACAACAACAGCAACAACTCATTCAACAACATCACCAACAACAGCAACATCAACAACAGGTGAATACAATGACACCACAAGAATATTACTTAGCCCAAGTAGCAGAATATCTTCCACCACAGCTACTACAACAACCAGCTCAGTTACCAACAATCTTTGATCCAACTAATGTTAGCCACCCGTCATCAACTTTATACAGCAACAGCTTTTTATTGTCTCAATGGCCCCTTCAACAATTTCACGAGCTTCCATACAATCAGTGTTTAGTTAATCCAGACATTAACTATCATCACGATCAATATCCACAAACGATAGATTGGATTTGGCCCCAAGAGGATATGTCCCAACCTATCCACTACACAGATCCGTACAACCCGTACCCTCAACAACATCAAAACTTCGATCCAGTGCATCATTCAACTTTCCCGAACTACCAGCAATTTTATAATGGCCATACGGAGCCTAAAAAAGATGAACGCATGAGCAAGCAAGGAGATAGAAAATATTCTCGCAGTAGAGACCATGATTCAGACTACAAACGCCACAAAACTGACATGGATAACAGGCATATCCTATCAACTCATCCTTCACAAAGGAAAAGAACAAATTCGAGATCTCCATCCATGTGCACCAGCAAACGATCATCTGACTATCGTAACGGTAGAGATTTTCATGTTGAGAAGCATGATAGTAGGTTGCCTAGCCGAAGTCGTAGCAAACATTATGAAAAGTGTAGTAGTCGTGGTGGCGATGGTGGCCGTCATAAAAGATCTTGTAGTAGAGGTAGTCGACGCTACGAAAGATCTGGTAGTAGAAGTGAACGTAGCAGCCACAGTGGACACTGTGAAAAATCTAGTAGTCGCAGCCACAAAGATGGAGCTAGTGTTTCGACAAAATATGGAAACCGTTCCTCAACATTCACAAACAAGCCCGATAGAGAGCCGTCTATAAAAGCAAAATCGCAAGCTTACCATCCAAACTCAGGAAGACACAGCAAAAACGCAACAAACGCTACTACGTATACGCACTGCGATGACCAAAAAATTAACCACAGCCACAACCACAGCCACAACTACCACCGCTACAATGAAAGTTACGCAAACACCAAGAGATTAAACGAGAGCGTTGTTTACGATGTAGGTTTGAATCTATGGAGGAGGCCTAGGAACGCTAGCCTAAAACGAAAACTGTCATTAGCTGAAGATTTTGACGTTAAAAAGATGCGATGAAATGAATAATAATAATAATAATAATAATAATAATAATAATAATAATAATAATAATAATAATAATAATAATAATAATAATAATAATAATGAAGAAGAAGAAGAAGAATAAACAAATAAGAATAATAAGAAGAATAATTAACGACGAATCCCGAATCTTTCGTGATCCCATTTCAATAGGAAGAGGATTTTAAAAATTCTTAGTTAGTGACCTTTTATTGTTAATTTCCGTTTACATTGCTACTTTGCTACTACAGTTTACACGGAATCTTCAATGAATCTTCAATGATTTCTTCTTTCCTGGTTTGCTGGTGGATCCCAGCCTGGTCCCGCCATGAGTTCCTCCCTGGCCCCATCCTGAACCTTTTCTGGCCCCACCCTGAACCCTCCGTGAGAATTTTAACGATAACAAGGGATCAGATAATGTTGACAATTGAGATGTTACTGAAAAATAAAAAGACTTCAAAATGAAGAAATATATCATTTATATCTTGTTAAATCATTTTTTTATACAATTTATTTATCTTTTATTCTTATTTGTACATATTTTAGCTACAAACACATTTTTAATCTATCTGACGTTCGAGCTATTTGGAGTCATGATTTTACGTGCCTCTTATTTAAACGTTAAACTTTTAAAATTTCTAAATCATTTTGAATTTTTTAAAAATCGAAATATTATTGTTATATTATTCTATAACTATTCATATTATATTTTAATATATATTTATGTTATTCAAATTAAACACGTTAAACAACACATATCTTTTATAAAATTCGTTCTCTATCTATTGGAAACTTATTTATTTCATAGCAACTTCATGTATGTGTGTGCGTGTGTTTATTTGGGTTTCTGCATTTTTTATTTCTCTCTATATTCATTTATTTATTTTATTCATTCATTTTAATTTAATAATTTAACTTGAAAATGGCAAATAAACTTCTATTCATCCGTTTGCCGTAAAATTTCCCACAAAACAATTTGTGTAATGTATTTTATTGTTTGTATGTATGGTATTATATTGTATTTGTATGGTATCGTTTAATGGTATTGCGTTGTATTACCTATGTGCTCTGGCCAGTATTAAATAACTTAATTCTTAAAAAGTTATAATTAAAAGCTTAAGGGTTTTATGTCATATTTATCTCTCTCTTTTCTCTAAACTTCGACATACATCAAAAAATAAGTAGCCACATCTTAAGGTTAAATTTTATATACAAATTTTTTAGCAAATCAACTACTTTCACCAATTACTAATTACTGATCACAAATTACCGATTACAAATTATTGATCACAAATTACTGATTACAAATTACTGATTACCGATAAATAATCATAAGCCAATACATTTATGCACACAAAAAAAGGTCTCGTTCTTGGCTTACAAGATGCAGATAGTAAAAGTTACAATTACAAGTTAAAAGTTAAGAAAGTTAAAGTTGGTAAAGCTTAATTTTCTAGAATGGGATTTTTAGGGAATATTCGGGAATGACGAGCGGGAATGGAAAAAATGACATCAACGTGCCAAAATAAAAGCCTGTAAATATATTTAAATATTTCTATTTTAGCTTAAAAGATCCAGGTCTTAGCACACATTTACCAAATTATAACTACAATATCATGCTTTACATGCTGACAAATGATAATGACGACGGTGAATAAGCTAGAGAACATGGTAATTCAGGTGACCAACGATCTGACCAAAGAAAAACAGACCCTTCTCAACTCCCAAATCGAAGCTGTCGACGGTGAAGTCGCAGCCTGGAACTCCGGATATGATGTCATCAAAACGATTTCTGGATTAACTGGCATTAAAGGTGAAGTGGGAACGAAGTTTCTGGATGAGAAGATCCAGTCTTTGAAAGGCGTTAAAAAAGCCATGCAAAAAGAATTGGAATTTTTGAAATCGCAAGCTAAGTCTATTGACGATACTTTCAAGCGCCTTATATCTTAAAAAAAAACGAAGTAAATTGCTACTGTCTTAAAGGCAACAAAATTGATGTTACTGTCTGTTTGATGTTTAATATGCTCCATTGAAATTACATAATTTAAACGTTAAAAACATGTTACTAAAATCGAATACATAACTAAATCTGGATGAATAATAAAAGCATTCAATCCATTTTTTGTTTTGTTTCGGTGTCTCGAAATTGAAAAAACTTATGAAAGTTTATTAATTTCAATTAGACAATACAATATCTATTAATTTAGATTATTTTATGATATTTAAACGAATGAATAGAAATCGAATTTTCATTAAATTCCAAAATTTTTATTAATTTTACGAAAAAGTCAAAAATTTAAGGTTAAAAAAGTTTGAAGTGTACAAACGCATCCAACCAATCATGTCGATCACAACCAACCAATCAGAATTCATCTCTCATTATCGACGTAATTGGCCATGGGGTCATCCGGTCTGACCCTTAACCTCTGGTAGGCCTCAATTTGCTCCTCAGTCGGCCCCTTACCATCGTACAGGACGTTATATGGTCGACTCTTTTCATCTACTTTCATCATTTTTTCCACTTCCTTCAATCTCTTTTTCTCTTGTCTTATGGCCTGTAGACATAAAAAAAAATATTAACAAAAGTCAACCTTAAATAGAAATTATAGAGACAAGACAATGATTATAGCGAAAATGGTTATAAATTTTTTAAAACTCTTAGGGAATTAGAATTAACCTTTGTAATCTTCTTTTCACGATCATCATCGTCGTCGTCGTCGCTAGAATCATCATCGTCATCACTGCTGGAATCTCGTGATTTATTATTAGATTTACCTTCCTTTTTCTGTTTCTTATGCTTTTTATGCTTTTTATTCTTTTTTGACTTCTTCTTCCTCTTCCTTTCTTCTCTTTCCTTTTGCTTCTCTTCGGCTTGTAACTTTTCAAGATGTTGCTGTTTTTTTAGGGAGAAAGATATATACATGTTAGTGTGTGTGTGTGTGTCTGTGTGTGTATGTATACGTGTGTGTGTGTGAGTGAAAGAATGAGCGAGCGAGTGTATATGTGTGCATCTGGTCAGTAGAAATGTCTGGCTTAAGTTTACAAAATTATTTACATTCATATTAGCACTTAATCAAATGGTGGAGTAAGCAGTTAATTACAATAATAATAATTATAAAATAATTATATAATAAAATAATAATAATAAAAAAAATAACAATAATAAATTATATATATATATATATATATATATATAATATATATACACTTTTATACATACGTGTAGTAACGACTTTGTGGTGTTGCTACAGCCGTTGCTGCTGATGGCGTTGGTTGTGTCTTCTTCGTTAGACGCGCTCGATGAAGTTTTACCTTTTTCCTAAAATCAGAAAAATAACCTTTGAGTGAGTAATTTTAAGAGAGAGAAAGATAGAAAAGTGAGAGAGAGAGAGAGAGAGAGAGAGAGAAAGAGAGAGAGAGAGAAATAAAGAGATAACACTGACCACAGACACACACGTCCACAAACACTCAAAAACACATTCAAATACACACACAAACACAAACGCACGCAACAAAAACCCCTTGCCAATATATTATTATTAAAAACTATAATTATTATAAATTATTATTGCGTACGGAGATTATCTTATCTTTCGGTGATTTATTATCTTCGTTTTCCTTCTCCTCCTCTTCTTCTTCTTTTTCTTCTAACAACTGTATTTAAATATTCAAAGTCAAACAGCCAATTAAAAAAAGGAATGAACCCAACCAATTATATTCGAATAAATAAAATAAACAGCCAATCACATTTGAAGAAGTATAAACTAGGCAAACAGCTAATTATGAGTTATCACTCTCAATCAAACACATGCAAACATTCATTCCGAACAACCAATCAACAACCAGCCAGTCACCAAAACCACCAGTCAACAATCATACAGTCATTGAAACAACCAATAACAACCGAACGACCACAATAGACCAGCCAATCATTAACAACCGACTAATCGGTCAACCAATCACAAAAAACCGGCCAACCAATCACAAACAATCAACCAGCCAGCCAACCAATCAACCTTAGTCTGCAGGCCAGACTGACCAATACAGTAAGACCCTCTGACAATTGACTCACAACACTTGTAACCCCAGCTGCCTTCCTTCCAAAATGAACCCCAGATAGCCTGGAATTAGAGAAAACATTCGCCATTTAGTTTCATTTTAACTATAACACACGTGAATAAACCAATCAAAAAATTGACACATTATTTAATTTAGTGTAAAAACATAGATGAATACACAAACAAACAAGCAAGCATATAAACGAACAAACAAACAAACAGACAAACAAACAAACAAACATACAGTGTGATTTTTTTCCAGTACATCTTCTTCGTATCTTGATCTGACAATGGCTTTCTCGCTACCCTTCACGATTGTACCGTGTCTCGAATATTCCACGTATTCCTCCTAACCATGTGTGTGTGTGTGTGCGCGTGCGCGTTAATAATCATCAAATATTTTGTGTTTGTCTGTAAATTCGATTATAAATTATAATGACGGTAGCACCGAAATTACAGCATTAAATTAGAAAAGTTTGAAATTTAAAAGCGACGACAAAGTTAATAGAGATTGATCAACAAACTCGTACACTCAATAACTAACTAACTAGCTAACTAACTAGCCCAATCAACCATCCCTACTCCCGGCCAATCACAAAACAAACAAACAAACAAACGAACGAACAAACAAACAAACAAACCAAACGAACGAACCGTTTGTGCAAGCAACAGAGATTTAGGAAGAACATTTAAATGTTCCTGCCCCCCGTACTTTTCAATGATGTTGGACCACTGTCGATCTTTTATGATATCTTTCTTCTTCTCGTACTCTTTGTTCAAGAGTTCCAGTTTCGTCGGCAGCCCCTGAACGTGAACATCCGAACCTTTCTCATAGGCTTCCCAAGCAAATTCTGAAACATTGTGTGTGTGTGTTTGTGTGTGTGTGAGAGAGATTGTGAGTGTGACTTTCAAAATAATGGCTCAAAAAGAGATGATATAATTCATGAAAAGTGAAAATTGATATTTTGATGGAAATTATTGAATAGCTTACTCTGCTTCTTGGCAATCTCGTAAGCGTCGCCGGACCACCGGACAAAATTGTCCCCAGCGTAGGGTAGGCTGGAAGCAAAATTAGGAATGATTAAAAGTGATTGAGAGTAATTACAAATGAAAATAATGTGATGGGCGAAAATGAGCATGATTAATGATCCTCATCATCACTACCATCATCATCTCACCGCCACCAACATCATCACCGCCATCATCACTATCATAACTTACTCCTTGGGATCAACACCTTTATCCTTGAACGGATTTTCCCTCATGGATCTGGTTTTGGGATCGTAGAATGCGGAATTTGGATCCAGGTTGTACAAGTACTGTAGGAAATAATAATGATTCGTACACGCTACACATATAGATTAACTTATTATTCAATCAAATAACTAATTCATCCATTCATAATTAATTATTTCAACCATCCATCTATCCATCCATCCACTAATTTACCTTAGCAGTATCTTCTCTAATCCTCAAATTCCTAACGGTGATCCTCTGCTTAGTTTCGAACTTCTGCCCGGGCATCGCCATACTGTCTGCATACTTCTCGTCATCATCCTCATCTCCATCCTCTTCCTCTTCCTGGAAAAAAATTTTTGTCCAAAATTGGAAAAAAATATTTGTGTGATGGCGCAATGGATTGAGGCACTTGGTCCTGATGATGCAGTGTCTGGGTTTTAATGCAGACTTAGCCAACTATCGCGTGCAGAATACCAGAAAAACAAACTTTGGCATTGTCCTCAACAGCGCCATCTTCTTCCCCCACCATCAACGATTTATCCAACTTTTTAGCCTTCATCTCTCTCCTCATTTCCTCCATCTTCTGAAATTCTTCAAAAATTCTTCTATGATTGGCCGGATCGTAGCCATTCCAGCGATCCCTCTTGCTTTCGTAGTTGAAGTCAAGTTGCGGTTGGCTGAACTCATCTGGCGCTATGTTCGTTCCTGTGTACTCTGCTCCAATCTTTCGAGGCCTCTGGTGAAAAAAATTAAATGGTTTAGGTGATTAGTGAAGAAAGTATAAGGTGAAAATTTAATTCGGTAAATGAGTAACAACTAAGAGTAAATGATTCAAGTAACTGGGTAATGAGTTAGAAAATTAATGAAAGAAATGTATGGGTCAATGAAGAATGAATTTGTTAAATTATATTATTCTGATGATATAATAATACAAATATACTAGCAATTTGTTAAAAATATCTTTACAGCAAATAAAAAAGAAGAATAACAAAGAAATAAAAAATTCTGTTTACTTCAAAACAATCTTTTTTCTTATGGGTCATAGCACCGCAATTTGAACACGCTCCCTCTCTGAACTTTGTGGCAGTGACCTCTTCCTTCACCCCTTTGTTGTACCACTCATTTAGGCCTAGATATTAATTATTATTAATAAATAATTATAAATAAAATTCACTCATTAATAAATAAATAAACTGATAATTAATAAAATTCAGTTAATAAAGTTGATGGAGTAAGTGGATAAATTATAGAATTATTGAAGGAATGAATGGGCATCAGATGAATGAATGAATAAATAGATAGGAGAATAAGTTAATTAACAAACGAATACAAAATTAAAAGACCAAAAATGAATATTCATACCTGAATAAACTTTTTTTCTTTCATCAGGTTCCCTCTGATGTTTCAGAGTAGGCTGGAGAGCCCCGATGTACCATGGTGCCTGCATGATGTACTGAGGAATGTGGGGGTTGATGTCCCTAAATTAGGTTAATATTATTTGTCATTAGTGTCAATTTTTCAAATTGATTTTTACACTAATTTGTAAAAATTGCAGAAATAAGCATGAATTTAATATCTAAACTGCCCTGTCTTATCTAAGCCTTAGATAAGCTATAGCTAGACTATAACTAAAAAAACACTACTAAAGTAAAGCTAAACCAATTGTTTAAAATTTTAATTAAAAATTTGAAAATTAAAATTAGGTAATGTATAACAAGTCTACGTACTTTCCCTCTTCGTCTTGCATGGCAGGGGCAGTTCCAGCCTTCCTGGCCTCCTCCAACTCCTTAATCTTCCTCCAATCTTCTCTCTTCTTTTCTCTACTCTCTTCCTCAGCAGTCTCTTCATCCTTCTTTATCTTTGCCACCAGAGATGGCGGCACATTGATTTGGAAAGACATCCCTAACTTAACTATATTATTTTAAATTTAAAATAACAAATTTATTTAATTAAACTTTATTAATATTTTATTAATTTTTAAATTCTTCTTTTTTCTTGGCCTCAGCCTAATAACAAATTAAATAGACAGATTCAGATTTACGATTCGAATTATAATTAATGAAATTAAAAAACACGCAATCAAGATAAATAAATAAATAAATGAGTAACTATCAACAATTTTTCTCTAATTTTTCGAGATATTCTTTGAACGAGAATTTAATCACAGAAGTTACAAATTTAAGTTCACTTTCTGTTGAAATGTAAATATTTTGGAAATAGACTTATAAGCATACAAACTGATGGAAAACTGAAACCTGCATGTTAAATAATTAAAAAATTAATTTTACAAATAATTTCACAAATTTAATAAACAAATTTTACATATTTTAACAGAATGTTTTAATTTAATTTATAATTTTATAGTTCTTACTTAATTGAATACAAAAAATTTTCAAAATTAAATAGTGATTTCTTAATACCATATTTACTTCATTTTAAAATTTGTCCCATGTCGTTTTCCATTCCACGCGTTATTAAATTGAAGTCCATTAATTAAATAAAATCAATACAATTTTATCGTAATTCAATTATGAATAATGTCAATAAATGTCGACATTTTTACGAAAATAAAGTGATATTAGCTCCGATGGTTAGGATCAGTTGTCTGCCAATGAGGTTGCTGGCACTGGAGTATGGAGCTGATTTGGTTTTCTGTGAAGTGAATTCCATTTTGATGAAATTTTCACAAATTATTCCTAATTCTAATTTCAAAGACTACTAATTGTTTCCAGTTATTAGCAATTTCGTTTAATTTTGAAAATATATCTTTTATAATTATAATACAATTACTTTACAACTTACTCTGTCTAACTAAATTTTACTAATGACTAAATAAAAAAGTTAAAAAGTGTAAAAAAAAACGGTTTTTAATATAACTCTAAAATTTTATTTCAATTTCAGGAAATTATTGATCATAAAATGCTACAATGTCGTCAGGTTCAAAATGGTAAACTTGATCTTATATTCATTTCTTTATTAATTATAATATACTATTACAATTATTATCAATTTTTTTACCACTATAAAATGATGCTAGACCAATTTCTCAATATTAATGTTGATATTTATTGGTAATAATCATAGAAAAATAGAATTCAATTTAATTTGTTTTTTTCTTCAAGAATTGTTAGGCACGACTGATTTCCTTTGGAGCGATGATAGTGTCATTTTTAGGACGTGCGATTTAGAGAGAGACAAAGTCATCTTTCAAATTGTAATTTATATAATTTTATGATTAAATTATTTCATAACTTCCTAATTTTCTGTTAATTTTAATAAAGTGTAGCTATTATAACACTAATTCACAATTTCTTACTACATTTTATATCATTTTGTTTAAAAATTCAGAAAATAGTTATAAATATTATTTATACAATTTATCATTCATCTAATTTTTCCATCCCTCAGAGTATTTCATGTTCTACTTTTTAACTATTGTTAAATATTATTACAATAATTATTAATATTATTTATTTATATTATTTAATTAATAATTAAACTTTTAAATTAATTTTTTTATTCCCAAGGGTACATCTAGTGCGGACAGAGCCCTGAAAGTTGCCAAAATGGTGTACGCTTATTAGCATATGTATATATACACATACACACAAAAAAATGATTTGATTTTTTTTTTGGTAATTATGTTCAAATGATTTTTCAAGATTTATACTGATAATTTTCAATAATAAATAGTAATAATTTAAAAATTTCTATATCGAAGAATATTGTTATCATCATAATGTTATAAGATTATAACAGAAGGTAATATTATTTGCTTATACGATGTGTGCCCTTAAGCATTGTACTAAAACATAATTAAATTTTTACATAAAGATAATTTTCTCTAATTTCAAATTCATTTTGTATTAACAATAATTATGAATAATGTTTATGATAAAATCATTTTATAATTAATATAAATGGTTAAATAAAAGAGATTTTTTAAAAAAATTTTCACTACACAGTGAAGACCATGTGGCTGGAATTGACATAAACATGGGTTGCCCTAAAGAATTTTCTATTAAAGTTATTATATATAATATTTATTATTAATTAATATTATTGCTTTTAATTATTTATTATTATAGTAATTTTTATTATAGTCATATTAATTATTTATTAATATAGTTATAATTTTTTTCTAGGGTGGTATGGGTGCTGCTTTGATGAGCCAGCCTGAAAAATTTTCAGAGGTCTCTAAAAATAATTTCCAACGTAATAATTATTAATTACGACGTTAATTGTATTAATAATAATAAATTTTTAATAACAATTTTTTATTTTTGTTATTTATTATTATTCTCAGATAGTATTTTTCATTTTAGATTCTGACCTCACTAGTTAAGAATGTAAAGAAGCCAATCTCGTGCAAGACTCGTATAAAATCGGATGTTCGAATCATTTTATTTTAGTTTAATTACTAAGTAATTAATTATTTGATTAATTAGCTTATTTATTAGTTTGTTTTTTTCAAATTTGCTTTGCTTAGTTAACTCATTTTATCTAGCTTATTACATTTCATTTTAGAAATTCCTTTGACTCTTACTTTTCTAATCACTATCTCAGCTAGAGGGCACATTAGAGATGATGAAGAGAATAGAGGCTACTGGAGTTTCCTGCATAACCATCCATGGTAGAACCAAAGAAGAAAGGCCGAACGACGAAAATCACGATGACGTCATAAGTCACGTCACGTGTCACCTGACAGTTCCGGTCGTCGCTAAGTTAGTTTCTCTCTCTCCTCTCTCTCTCTCTCTCTCTCTCTCTCTCTCTCTCTCTCTCTCTCTCTCTCTCTCTCTGTGCGTGCGTGTTTTATAGTGTTGGTAATATAATGATTTCAGTGGTGGTTCATCTATGATAAAAACCTACAAAGATATCGAAGTTTTTAAAAAATCGACAAACTGCTCCTCTGTCATGATCGGTCGGTCGGCCATGTGGAATCCGTCTATTTTTAGGAATCAGGGATGTACTGACGATGTTGATGTCGTCATTAGAAAGTTTTTGAAATATGTTAGTGGTTTGTTTGAAGTTGACGCGTCGTATAATTCTAAGTGACCGTGTCTTTTTCCGTTTCAGTTTTGATGTTTTTGACCTGTTTTACGGATAACTCATTTATTTTCTCATTCTTAAAATCCATCTTTTTACAAAGAAAAGAATCAAACAAACATTTACCAAAAAACTTAAAAAACAACAAACAGCAAAAAACACCAACAAATTAACAACTACAACAACAACACACCAACAAACAACAGATGAACAACACACATTCTAGCACAGCAAAAGCACACACCAACACCAGCAAAAACACACCACAGGCAATTAAGTATGACACATTCCTAGCCTGTGTTAAGTATTGCATACAGCAATTCATGCATGAAAATCTCGAATCGTACAAAGGCAGACAAATGCTTAACTCCACTACAGTCAGGGAAATATGGTAGGGTCTAATTATCATAATTTATTTATTTATTTGATTAATAATTCATCATATTTGAAATAGTAATTACTGAAGTACAATTTTTGATTGTTAGTTCTATATGGGACATGGCGGACGAGTATGATGAAATGATGCAAGAAATTGAAAAAAGGAGGATGTTACTACAAGAAAGGAACCTTAATAAAGAACCTTACGAACTTGAACTCGATGATGATGATGATAAATGTCCAATATACGTCTTACCTCATAAACATAATAAGTACTATATAATTTGGTGTATATTTATTCACTTCTACATTTATATATTAATATATATATATATTTTAAATTTGCATTTTATTACAATGTTTGATAATAAGCATTAAATATAATGTTTTATTTGTGAAAATTTCAATCAAAAAGTAGAATTTATATACTTTTTAAATTTAAATTTTTTTTCTCTAGAAGGGATTTCAACAAAGACAGCCCAAAGATGTCACTTCACAGTTGGGCACTGAAACACAAGATTAGGCCACCTCAATATAAAATCGTAATAACAATAATAATTATTATTACTCATAATTAGTCATAATTATTTGTAATTCTTATTATCTGTATCATTTTTCTCTGTATAATTTTTAACAGCTCATTAACCCACTAGACAGAAGCTATAGAGCCATTGTCACATTCAATGAACTGAGATTTTCCGCATCTATCTGGTAGGTTGGAAATTATGAATAATTATAATAATAATAGTAATAATTATTCATAATAACATTAATAATTATAATGTACTTTTTATTTAATATATTATTTATTCGTATTAGTATCGTTATTATTACCATCGTTATTGCCATAGTAATATAAATAGTAGTATTGTACCATTATAATTAAAATTGCTATAATTATTTTTATTATAATTCATAATTATTAAGGGATAAATCAAAAAGGTACAGCGAGCAATCAGCAGCCTCCGTTTGCATCACTCTTATGAATAATTCTAAGTTTTTCAACGAGGTCTTCAGGGAAAATTTGCGAAGTTCGATGCAAGAGCATCTGATTGTGAACATAAAACCTCCTAATATGCCCTACTGCCCTAAATCATTGCTTTACAATAATAATAATAATAATAATAATAATGGTATTAGTGATGATAGTAGTAATTTCAAAAGTGTTGACGGTGATGTTTCTGATGCTAACGCCAATATTGATAGTGGCAACGCTAGCATGGCTTTTAATAACGGTGATCATAGTGATAATAATGATAATTATAACCGTAATGGTGATGAATATAATGATGATAATACTCCTAATCACAGTAACGAATGCCCAAATTACTCTTGCAAGAGAGTAAAAACTATTTAGGTGTATGATAAATACTTCTCGTGCTATAATTATGTTAGTTAACATTTAAATCTAATGATATTTATGCATAGTTGTAGAGGTAGCTTGTTCCTCTATCCTGTTTGTATTAAATATTTGGTTATACATTGCAGTGTGTTTGGTTTTAAGTGTAAACTGATATAAACTGGTGTCAAAGAGTGGTTTTCGAATTCTTTTAGAGCTTAAACTCTAGCCATATATAAAAAATATCGCGTATGTATGGATTTAATTCTTGCAGGCAAATGAGTGTAAATTGCAATGGTTTTTATTTCGATTGAGTATCTTTAAAAAAAGCCAAGTTATCGCATTTTGGAATCATAACGACATTTCCTATTTTATTTTTTGCGAATCTTTGGTTTGTTTTTAGCTGTTCTTTGCTTTTTTATTTTTTCGCTACATCGTCGGCGTTTTTATTAAAATGGAGGTTTGTGTGAAATCGCTTCTTATATTTTCAATTTTAATTTCTTGTGAATTTTTTTAAGTCTAGTTCATTCATTTTGATAAAAAAATTCAACTGCATGTTTGTTATCTAACACATCTTACACCATTTCTTTTGTTTCACTAATCTAATTTATCATCATTCATCCATCTGATGATCCACAATCCATTAGAAACTGGTTAAATTAGTATTAATAAAATTTGTGTTTTTTGGTTTCCTTCCATCTATGTTGATAACTTTTTCAATTTATTAAATTTTTTCGTTTTTTATATCACAAACTTGCTAATTGATCCACAACCTGATCTGGATTCAACAGACTGATTCATCATTAATGGCTGCCAGCCCCAGCAAGTCACCGACCAACACCAATGGTAATGGTAATACTAATGCCACCGTCAACAACAACGCCGCCACCAATGGTACGGTGGGTCTCGATGAGATGACCTCCAAAGATTACTACTTTGACAGTTATGCCCATTTTGGTATTCATGAGGTTTGTTAGCACTTTTAATACTACTGATGAATGTTTTTGAATTATATATTTTTTGTCGTTTATGTTTTATTTTATGGGCCATATACTTGTGTATTCAAACAAAAGGCTGTAAAATAAATTTATAAATATTCAGGTTGCTCTGCTTTGATTTCTAATTGATATTGTAAGTTAAGTTGTTTGCATAACTTGAAATCTTGCCTTTTTAATTGGTGTTGTTAAAAAGCAAAAACATGCTTTTCTATGTTGAGATCTTGTCTTGCTATCGTCGATTGGTATTGTCAAATTGCTTTCTCAAATTAGGAAATGATGAAGGACGAAGTTAGGACTCTAACTTACAGAAATGCCATGTACCACAATAGACATCTTTTCAAAGATAAAGTGGTCTTGGATGTTGGATCGGGGACAGGTATCCTGTGCATGTTTGCTGCCAAAGCTGGTGCCAAGATGGTCATTGGGGTAATTTAAATACATTTCTTATCTCAATTCACTTTTCTCACACAATTCTTCTAATTAATTTTATTCATATTTGTCTATAAGTTAATATTTGTTTAACTTTTTTTCTAGATTGAATGTTCTAGTATCATTGAACAATCAGAAAAAATAATTCAGGCAAATAAATTGGATCATGGTACATTATTTGATTTCATTTTTTAATTGTAAGTCTAATTGTAAACCGTTTGATTTATAACGTTGAACTATTTTACCATTTGATTGCACATTTCATGGCACTACTTGAATAAATTAGTCCTCTTTCTTCAAAGATAACCTTAAAATACACCTCATAAAATTTCAATTGAAATATTTATATTTTTTCTCCTATTCAACAGTAATAAAATTGGTCCGTGGTAAGGTTGAAGAAGTTATCCTACCTAACGGGATCGAGAAAGTTGACATCATAATTAGCGAATGGATGGGGTATTGTCTGTTTTACGAGTCTATGCTGAAGACCGTTATCTACGCTCGAGACAAGTGGCTGGTTAGTTTATCATTTTATATATATATATATATATTCGTATTCATATAAGCATATGCAATTTATAACTTCAAAATTAGTACTGCATCTAACACACAATACCATTTTTATACACAATACACCTATATACACAATATATACATAATACACCTATGTACACAAAACAAATTTTATACACAAACCCAACACCTCATCCCATTACAGCAAACACAAGATACACAAAAACAACTTTTTTACACCAACCCAATTCCAAAACAATCCTCACTCCATTCTGACTCATTCCATTTCACTCACGCACTCCAACTGCACTCCAGGCACAAGGAGGACTCATATTTCCTGACAGGGCCTCACTCTACATATGTGCCATCGAGGACAGACAGTACAAGGATGAGAAAATTAACTGTTAGTACGAGATTTAAAATTAAATTGCAATTAAAAAAATTAATTAGATTTTAAAAAATTAAAGTGATGGTGCAATTGTTGAAGTGTCTAGCATAGCTTATTTGTTAAGATGTCCTCACATGCAATCTGTGTGTGTGTGTGTGTGTGTGTGTGTGAGATGTTTTGATTTACTTGTATTTGTGCACCCTGTGTGTTGGTTGTGGAGGCCTCTGAAAAATTGGATTTGATTTGTAAAATAATAATAATAATATAAATTTATATCACTAGGGTGGGACAATGTGTACGGTTTTGATATGAGCTGCATAAAGAAGGTAGCAATTTCCGAACCACTGGTAGACGTGGTTGACCCGAAGCAGGTAGTCACCAACAACTGTTTGCTGAAGGAAGTGGATATGTATCGGGTGACGGAGGAGGATCTCTCCTTCTCTTCTCAGTTCTGCCTCATGTGTAGGAGGAGTGACTATGTACAGGCTTTTGTTACTTACTTCAATATTGATTTTACCTGCTGCCATAAGCCTACTGGCTTTTCTACAGGTTTGTCATGGGTTTTTTCCCTGTCTTCGATTAGTATTTATTTGTATTGTGTATGTTAATTTTTTATCTTTTTTTCTGTTTTGGTTCATTTTGTTGATTTTAGTGGTTCAACCGTTTGTGTTATTTATATTTTCATTAATTCAAATGCTTCTTCACTATCAATTTATTTATCATCTGTTAATAATGTTAGTGCATAAATTTAAATAGTTCGTTAATTTTTCAATCAAAATCCACCTAGATGAATGTAATGTTAACTTGCCCCCCCACACACACACACATACACATACACACGCGCACACATACATACTCACAAACACACGCGTACATACAATTCGAATTCACATCAGCACCGGGAGCCAGGTACACCCATTGGAAGCAGACGGTCTTCTACATAGATGACTACCTGACTGTGAAATCCAACGAGGAGATTGTGGGCGTCTTCCATATTAAACCCAATACCAGGAATAATGTTTGTGGGGTTTCTTTTGATTCCATTTATTTATAATTATTATTCTTTTGTATTATTTTTCAGTTTTTTTTTCTAATAAATTTATGTTATATCATTTGTGATTATTTGAACTTTTTTATGTCTATTCAATTTGTTGTTTTTAAAAAACACGGGGCGGGGATTAATTTTTTTTTTTCATTTTTTTATCAACAGAGGGACTTGGATTTTGTGCTAGATGTTTCTTTCCACGGAGATCTATCAAGTCTCGATACGTCAATGACATATAAAATGCGTTAAACGTCATTAGATTAATTAATTACGCGACTTATTAATTACTTAATTAGCTTGTTAATTAATTAATTAATTGATCGATCGCCATTAGTTATCTGCACAGTTTAATAATCGTCAACATCATCGTTATATTCATTGTCTTCCCTTCAACATCATCGTTATCTCATGCTGTTGAACTCGCTATGATACAATAGTTTTTTTGTCGAGACTTTTTACTATATATGTGTGTGGACTGTACATATTTTATATATATACATTCATGTGTGTGTATAAATATATTACATGAGATAAGTTATATGAAATTGAAATGCCAATCTGTTTCATTATGTGTTTGTGTGTGTCTGTGTATGCGTATTCACGTATGTGTGAATTTGTTTGTCATGTCTGTGTATATATGGACTTAAATCTCGAATCTTTTAATTGAAAGAAATTTTCATTTGAAAGATAAGATAGGACAGTAAACCAAAAATGGAAGATTTTGTTACATTTTCCTAATTCACGCTTTATAATGAGGGTACTCTGAATACAAGAAAAAGTGTACAAATGTGTGTGTACGATTGTGTGTGTACACATGTATATGCGCATTCATATCTATATGTTTTTTATTTAATTATTTGCTTAGACCAAATTTTGACTTTTTTTAAAAGTTTGTCGACAAAATGACTCGTGTGTATTATGTGGTGTTATTGATGTGCATATTATATGAGTCATAAGTGTGTTTGTGTGTGCGCAAATGTGTACGTACTTTGAAATAAGATGTATGCCTAGAGGAAGCGGTTAGAGAAAGTTATTAGCGTAACTTATGCCAGATGATAAATCAATATAAATAAGAACTAGCCGTAGAGATTGAGTCGGTGGTTTTTGTCCGAGATGGAGTTCTTCGAGGGACCAAAGTTTCTCGCACTTGTCCGCTGGTTCTCTGTAGGCGATTGAATTGTCTCTGCATTTTCTTCGCAGGCTTTCTTCATTAGATATAACCGTTTTCTGATGACAACCGCTAACTTTTTTAATGACAACCTACAACTGTTTTAACGACATTCTTCGATTATGTATTTGAAGACGACGTTTGGCTTTTCTGATACAACTGTCAATTTTTCTGTGCGGCGTGCGTGGATTGTGCACGAAAGTTTTTTGGCAAGTCTAGAGTGATAAAGAAGAAAGGAACACCTGGATGGAATTCAGCTTAAGATTAGTTCAATGTTGCTCCTATGTTCCTTTGTTAATTATTCGATCTTTGTATCATCTGCTTCTAGCTGTGTAGTGTGTTTATTTATAAATATAGTCAGCCATTCATTGTATTAACAAATTGATTCTTTTGTCTGTTTTTGACCTAAATTAGTGTACAATTAGTAAGTTTTTGTTGTTAATTTGTCATTATTGTTGCTTATCGTTGATTGGTTTGTCTCGTAGCAAAGGCTGTTTGGTCAATTTTGTAATTTTTAAGTCGCATATAGGTTCTCAGTCTCAGTGAATTCAAAAATTTTCTCTTTTTTTGGGAATCGTCTGCCAATATTTTTTGTTTCTCATTTTTGAATTAGTTTATTGAAATAAGAATGACGTCAGTTTTCGGCAATGTCGCAAGCTGGTTCACGAGCACAGCAGCAACCACTGGAGAAAGTGACCGTAGTAACAAAGAACCTTCTGCTGGTAATAATAATAATCCCAATGATAGTATCATCGTTGAAAGTTTGCCTAAATTAGTGAATGTTGATGAGGAGCCAATTGAAATTGTGGAAATTAACAAAGGAGAAGATGGTAATAAAGAAAAGTCTGTGGAAAATTCAGAAGTGAAGCCAGAAGAGAAAAATGATGAAGGTGAGAGTAAAGTTCATTCATTGGAGAAAGATCTGGAAGAAGTTTCTCACCTGGCCTACAATACTGCCAGGGATATTGGAAGTTTGTCTGTTTTTTATCTAACTCATATAACATTTTTTTTAATCTTTGCTATTTTTTAGTAAAGATTGATACATTTAGTGAGGATTTGATAGATTTAGTCTAATGAATTTTTGAAATGACGTTTTTTCCAGGCTATATTTTCAGTCTTGGGAAGACCTACACAGAACAAGTGGCAAAGACTGCCAAACAACTGAAGGACACAATTGAGGAGAAGGTTTTAATAATTAAATCTATATTAAGTTAATAAATTCACTATTAAATCAAATTAAATTGAGAAGTTTTCCAAATTTAATCTAATTTTTTCTTCCATTCAGACCATCATTGGCGACTTCACAAAAGAGCAAGAGAAGTTTGTGACAGGTAACAAAGAGAAGAAAAAACTGGCAGATGCAGCTGTCCCACCATGGGTCGGTTACAATGAGGAAGAGGTCATGAAGGTCCAGATACTTGAACTCTCCAAGGTCAGAGTTCATTTGTTTGTTTTTTTTTTATTTAAATTTCCATTCAAAAGTTTATCCTTTTGTTTTGTTTAAAAATATTTTTTATACATGTGTGAATTCACATCATCTCAATGCTCTTAACATGCTTGTCATTAATTCCTATAAATTGTTCGTACTAGATCTTTTAATAATCATTTCAGAATTGAAAACTTTTCCAAACATTCAGGCTCAAATTGTTAATGTATATTAAATTTCTTATAAATTTATATATAAAAATAATAATTTTTCTTAATTAAACTTTCAAATCTATTCAAACTAACTAACTAACACTATGTTGACACAAATTAGGACAAGAGAAATGTGCTCAGAAATCCACCAGCTGGCATTCAGTTCTATTTTGATTTTGAAAATAGCTACCCCATTGCTTTGGTGATGTTAGAAGAAGATGAGAGGCTGAAGAATCTCAGATTTGAATTAGTTCCCAAGCAGTATGTGTCGTTGTTGTGTGGATGTTTTTGTGGATGTGTGAATGTTGTGTGTGTGTGTGTGTTTGTTTAGTTATCATTTATAATTTACTGTATGCTATTAATACAGTCTATATTCTTATTATTAATTACGAATAATTGTAGATAATTATGACCATAATAACTATTGCGACAGAATTAAGGAGGAAATCTTTTGGAGAAATTATTTCTATAGAGTTTCTCTCATCAAGCAATCAACGCAGCTGACATCATTGGCTACAGGTCAGCTTCCAACTTCATCTGCAACACCATAGCTATCAACATCATTGTCATTACTATCATTCTTTTCATCATCATCATCATCCTCTTTTTCATATCATCGTCATCTTCGTCGTTACCATTGTAACATTACCATTTGTTGATATATATAAATTTACTTTATCACTACACAGATAATACCCATCTAACTAGAGGTTTGGAATGTTATTATTGTTGTTATTATTATTATTATTACTGTGATTGTTGTTATTCTTATTATTTATCACTTTTTCAGATGATATGCCTACTTCATCAGCCCCTCACCATGACCACAATGATGTTCCATCTGGAGCCTACTACAGAGATGCTCTGAAGGTATGTAGTAATGTTGTTGTTCATGATAATATTAATAGTAATATATAGATGTATAGGTTTAATATAAAACCATCAGCAATGACATCAACAACAACAACATCATCTCTACCAACAACAACAACAGATTTCCGAATCGGAGTTCGTAAGTGATGCATTCCAAGCGACAAACGTTAATGACCCGGAATTAGTTTCAGCCATGCAACAACTGACGACAGCCTCATCTGGACAAAGCAACAACAACACCGTCACCATGTCTTCATCTACTAATAGCGCTGGTTGTTGTTTATGTTCATGTCGTCTATGTTGCTGTTTTATGTTTATACCTATGTTGTTGTTCTTGTTTATGTTGTTGTTTTTGTTTATGTTTTCAGTGAATGTATTAACTAATATATGAATGAATTAATGAATGAAGGAAGGAATGTTTTTGTTTGCGCAATACACGCAGAAATACCTGTGTATTGTACTGTGTACATTGGTATAATACATGCGAAAATACGATGCAATATATTCAAAAATACTATGTAGAATCGTCAATTCGTCACAAAAACCCCACACAAAAACTACAGCATACAAAATACCCGACATAAATTATCACTGTAAATACACGAAGTACCTAAAACGCCCCTGTATTAAGCAACTTATTAAGCAAAATACCTCAAAATACCATCCAAAATACCCCGAACAGATGTTGCAGATTGGGAAAAAGAATTACAAGCCGAGCTACAAGAGTACGAAGTTATCAGTGATGATATATCGGACGCTGCCCTCGAGAGGGAGATACTCACGCAACTGGAGCAGGAAAATAATTGAGAGAGTGAATGAGTGGATGAATGAATGAATGAATAAATGATAGTCTGAACGCGTGGATGGATAAAGGAATGAACAATTATCTAAATGGGGACAATAACAATCACAACGACAACAATTGAGTAATAAATAACAATTTACCATTTCATATAATTTTTAATAATTATTAGAGTTTATTTGTAATATTAACTAATATATCAGTTACCATTTACTACTTATCTGTCATCACATTTCACTGATTTATCGTTGTTCAACAAACAAACATGATGTACACACAGACACACACACACGTTTATGTATAAACACATGATTACACATACAAACACCTTATACATACATACATACATTCATACAAACAAACTAACGAACGAACGTATACATAAATACATATACCTATTGTAAATACCTATATCATACCTGTTTTGATTCGTCTTGTTTTCAGTACGAATGAACCCGGCTTTCAGTTTCATTTTAAGATTCTCACGTTTAGAAAAATACCAACAGCAATGTACATACAAACAAACAAACACACCTCCGTACTAACACACCTTCATAAAAACACACCTTCATACAAAATAATTACAGTAATGGCAGTAAATCACAATAATGATAACAGACGACCACCAATGCTAGCGATATAAATGGTTCTAACAGCAGCGCAAACTGCTTGTTCATCGGTGTTGAAACTTCAGTCAATAATAATATTAAAGTTCACGTTGAATTCACTATAATTTGACAAATTAAGTTATAATAATAATGCTTAGTATAATACTAATGACGATAATAAGTTATAATTTTAATGAAAAAACGAAAAAGAAAATTCATTTTCAAGTTCTTTTTTTAATAGAGCACAACCCCTTCTGTAGTTGGCTGATTCCCAGTTTGACCTTGACATTATCAGAGACTCTCTTGATAACGATCTTCAGAATTAATAATATTTTATTATAAAAATAATTATAGTTATAATATAAATGTATTGCATCGAGAACATTGCATCTGACATGATCTGCCATGTACAGTGTCATTTGCAATGAACCTCGAGCTGTTACAGCATAATCATAATTTATCAGTTTTAATCAACACAATTTATTGACTTATTGCCAAATAAACTAATTATCATAGTTTATTATCATTAATAAAGAGTTGGTTATAACCTAATTATCATAATTTATTATAATTAATTGGTGAATAATTTGTTACAGTTGTCGCTACCTCGTCGTGATTTATATTTATGATGTTGCCATTAAATTTTCCATGCTCTTTTGAGTCAACTGAAATCGGTTGGTCCTTATTATGCCTTTGGTTTATAATAAATTTAATTACGATAGCAATTAATAAATATTAATATTAAATAAAATGAATATTAATAATAAACAAACGAATATACCATCTCTTATCAATGCAGAGCCTAGAATCTTGGACAAAAACCTCATGTAACGAGTTATACATTGAATCCAAATTATGCTGCTGATGTTGTTGCTGATGTTGTTGGTGTTGCTGGTTTGAATTCATATGCAAAATTGTTGAAATGTTGTTGTTTGTGTTGTGTGACTTGCTGCTGCTGCTGTTGTTGATGTTAGCGTTCGTGTTGTTGTTAATGTTACTGAACTTGCAGAGGTAGGAGAGGTCGTCATTAATGAGATCGTCGTCTAGGGAATTACTTAGCTGAAGTGTTGTCAGAAAACCAAGCCAGAAATTTTCGCCAATTGTTGAAGTAGTTGCAGAAGCATTAGTAACAGCAGAAGTAGTGAAAATAGCGGTAATGTAAAAACAGTAGTAGCATTAGTGTTACCAAGAGGAGTGTTTGTTGTAGTTTTAGTAATAAGAGTAGGCAGTAGTAATGTTAGTAGTAGAGTTCCAACACAAAAGTATGATGTTATATGTCATAAAGGTTAAGAAAAACCATTTCAAATTGGCGTTATGCTATTTTATCATGAAATAAATTGATTAAAAAATTGTATTTTATTAAAAAATATCAAATAAACAAATTAATTAATTAATAGTAAGACAAATGAAATATAAATTTGAAAGAAAAGATATCAGGTGATGGTTTCGATCTTTTTTCAGGAACAGGAGCAGGATCATTCGGCCGCCTTCGAAGTTTTCTGGTCGTCACCGGCTTAACTAACATTGTGTCTGGTGTTGTAAATCAGGAGAATAGTGATAATAATGATACAATAAATAAATAAATAAATAAATGATACAAAACCTCCTGTCAGCTCCATACTCTGCCTCTCCAATTCAATAGTCTTTTTCTTATGCTCCAATTCATTTATCAATGTATCGCGTAGTTCTAGTTTCCTATCCTAAGTAAAAAAATGTACTAAAGTCAAATCATACTTTCATTGTCATCATCAACATCAGCATCTCATCAATTAATAATTAATTAATTAATTAATAATAAAACTACCTCAAACTCTTTAGCAGCAGCTAACTTTTCTTTCTTAAACTCCTCCTCGATGATCTTCATCTGAATATCACTCAACAAGGTGTTCATGTGCAGTCGGTCCCCATGCAACATTTCTAATTTTTTTAGTTTTTTGACATAGGTAGGTAGGGTGCCATTTTTAAGTTGATGTAACTGACGTTTGTATTGCTGTAGCTGGTCATGGAACATCCTGTTTCATTAGTGCAGTGATCAGGTTAGGTCAGAGTTAGGATTAGTAATCAGTTGAATAATCCTAGGTATTTCTAAATTTCTAATGTTAAAGTTATAATCAGCTACAGCTAAAATTCCATTTCTAACTTTAATTTATAATAAATTACTAAAGAAATGTACTAATAACGTAACTAACTGGTCCTTGATACCGGTGAATTCCTCATCTTTCTTTTCAGCCTCTGTTTCACTGGCATCTTCCGTGTCTGATCAATTATTTATACATTTAAACGTGGAGGTACTATTTAACCGCCACATTTGTTTAATCAAAATGTCGTTTAAATTGCAGAGAAGAAAGATAAAAACGAAATTTTAAAAAATTCACCAAAATCAGAAAAATCTCAAGATCAAAATGTAAATTTAAAATTTTTTTGCAACCTTCGTCCGAATCTCGTCTGAAATCATTATCTTCGTAAGCTAAATCGTTTTCGCCGTCGTTAGAACTTGAAACCATTTTTTTGGAAATAATTTACGAACGCAATAACACCAATTTTATTGGAAAAACGAACCGAATATTTTTTAACAAAAATGGTTAGTGAAATTAGTTCGATGTTTAGACATCGGTGGAGATAATTTATGCCATAACCATAACCATATACACTTAGGATTAGCATTACGAAATATTAAATAGCAGACAAATAAAATTAACTATTAAATTGTGTTAAGATAGTTAATTGATAATATGCTACTTTAAAACGTATAAAACAATAATTTAAACAATAAAATCTATAAAATCACTTTGATGAATGTTAAAATCTTCAAAATAAATGTAAAATCAAGCATGTTTTTAAATGAAAACCATGGATAAATATCCATGATGAAAACCGACATTGTTATTTTCAAATTTACATACAAATCACCAAATACCTGATCAAAAATATAGCAAATGTCACGACAAATATAGACAAATTGCACGATCTCATAGAGCTGCTACTAAAAGCTTGACCAATATCTTTATACTGTGATGTTGGTGTAGGTAAAGCTCGATAGTCGTCCAGGTAGTCGTCACTCTCAAGACTATCACTCCCCCTATGGCTCAAACAGATTTTTACCAGGAACACCACCATGAAAACTGATTTCGAAATAAAATGAAATGAAATAATCAGTGATGATGATGACGTTGGTGATGGTGATGATAACGATGATGATGATGGTGGTGATGATAACGATGATGCCGATGGTGATAATGATGATGAAGGTGCCGATGACATGAGAATAAGTGGTAGACGTATGATAAATTGAAAATAATTTTTTTTTATTTAATTCATTATATTTCATATTTTAATTTGATTTAAATGTCCTAATTTAAAATTTTAATTTTGTTTAATTAATGTATAATTCATTACAATTTAATTGATGTATAATTTAATAAAATTTGAATAAAAGCTATTGACAAATGAACATTTTTATAAGTTTTCTTACGTATTTGACATGTTTTTAGCAGCATTTTGTCGATGTTGTTGACGATAATGCGGATGTTGTTGCTGTTGAAGTTGTTTTTGTTGTTGTTTTTGTTGTCGTCGTCGTTGTTGTTGTTGCTGACTTGGATAAACTTGTTAACTTGTGGCTACCACAAAATTTTTTGGAATCTAAAAAATCATCTATGACGATGATTTAATGAATATGATCTATGATAAAAATAACCTAAAAAATTTCAAGTAATTAAAATTTTAAGAAAAAAAAAACCACAAATCACACCAATGAAATTGCATAAAAATCAGTAAATATTGTATCAAATTATTTTTGAAAAAACCAGTCTCAATGATATATACAGCCAGATATTTTACAGCCAACATCCACATAGCACGCAGTAGTTTTATAACCTAAAAATTTTGCCCATATCCGTTTCTTAATTGAATCATGCAGTTTAGTGAGTAGCCGAATATTATTTTACTCTGAATTTTTCATCTCTCTCTCTCTCTCTCTCTCTCTTTCTTTCTCTCTCATTCTTTCTCTCTCCTTTCTTTTTCTCTTTCACTCACTCTATCTTTCTCTCAAAAGATGATAGCGGAGACGACGACGACGATGATGATATGATGACGATGATGATGATGACGGTGATGATAATGATTATGGGTGTAGTTCAATTGTAGCCTGTCAATCAAACAGGCGAATGTCGTTCGGTGATATTAAACAAACGAACGAACGAACGAACCTAAGAACGAACAGACAAACAAAGAACTGACAATAATGCTAAGAGTTACATGAACCATTGTTTATGTTTAAATTGATGATTTGAAATTGGTTCAAATTTTTGAAATATTTTTGAAAAAGGATGGATCGTCTAAAGAGAGGTAGAGAGAGAGAAATATATATGGAGAAAAAGAGAGAAGCAGAAAGAGAGAAATTAAAAACAGAAAGAGAGAGACATAGAAAGAGAGAGAGAGAGAGAGAGAGAGAGAGAGAGAGAGAGAGAGAGAGAGAGAGAGAAAGAGTGAGAACTAAAAAACTAAAATGGCAATTAATAACAAATGAAAATACATTAAGTAGATAGAAGGAATAGACTAATAATTGTAGAGGGATATATAGTGAATGAAACAAGAAAGAGAGAGAAAGAGAGAAAAAACAAATTTTAAAAAAAGTTAATTCAACCAAACGATTGGACGATGATGACATTCAAGTTTG